CGACTTGGGAAAATTTACATGACATGCGATTTCAATTTTCTGACTTTGTCCTTGAGGACAGGACACTCTTGAAGGGGACGGGAATGATGCAGATGAGGGTCGTCGATTGAAGAATGCGTACAACCGGGCTCGATGGGTGAAGATCAAGGGGCAAAAATCGAGTGCTGCCCAGGTTCAGGTGGCGCTCTTAGCGGCGCTAAGGTGGAAGGCTAGCGAGGGGCTAGCGCCGCTTACAGTCCTTAGCGACTCCAGAGAGTTTGAAGGCTTTGGGGTTAGCGCCGCTAAAGGGCTGAGCGGGAACAGTTTCCAATTCAGTCTCTTTTTCGTTTTTTAATGGGTTTGGGTAGTTTGGTAGGGTATTTTATGTTGTTTTTCAGATTGTTTGAACCACTTTTTATCTATTTATGAAATATATAAAAAATAAACTCGTTTCCGAGCATCTATTTGTGTCAAGATCAAGGCCTTAGTGCGGGTTTTGATACAAAATACTCAATTTGATACACGATTCGCAATAGAACGCCGGAGCACATGGGGCGGCGGGTGTAGCATACGGCGGGTCGCGTGGAGGAAAGGCGAGATAGGCGGGCAAAAGGCCCAGTGATGAGGCCTTGAATTAGTTGGTGTGGGCTGCGTAATTGAACTCTGAGTTATGATTGGGCCAGGCTGGACCTGTTCTTTAGTTTATTTTTACGGGAAAATTATGTACATGGGCCCCTATCTAGAGATATTTACATATATACTATCCTTGCAGATATTAATCAAAATAGGAGTAATAAGCGATCTGTATTTCGTTTGTACGAGACTAATTTATATTAGAAGATTCGTTTTTATCTCTCTCCATATATCCTTGCAAACATTAATCAGAAGATCCGTTTTTCTCTCTCCATATATTCATCCAAAAAATTCCAGCAATGGCGAAGGGAAGGCAACCCACCTCTTAATCTGAACGATGATGAAGATGAAACAAGGTATCGTTCTGGAACTCGTACAACAACCAGTAATCAATTGCCCGAATGGAAGATCGTCCAAAAAATGTTTCATATTCACAAAAGTTCAGTTACAAGAAGTTCGAAGATGAAGAACAAAGAATTATCAGACGAGTCCTCGAATAAAAAAAAAAAATAGAAATTCAAATTCTCGACAAGAGTTGGATCCAAAATTTGGATTGACTTTTCTGGTGTTGTTTATATGTTGTTTATCTTATGTATAACTGCATTCGATTTGGATTTTGCAGTCATTCAAGATTGTGTAATATGTTTTATCCCGTTTCAGAATGGTTTATATGTTGTTTATCTTATGTATAACTACACACTTAGTATTAGAGGACTGTCAGATCATGTTTATTTGATGTATATATACAGTATATCTGAACATATATTTGATGGTTATTAGATCGGGAGCGAGTTATCCTTGTTTCGTCTTCACTTTTGGAGGGTTTGGTCTCATTTTTATTTCGCTTTGCCATTGTTCTTCTCCGCTGAGATGAAACTTTTTTTTTTTGTATGAGAGATGAAGTTTTTTTGGGGGAGGGATGAAGTTCTATGCACTACACCCGTGATATGGAGAGATAAATGGTGATTTCTTTTTTTTTTTATTCGGGTGAGTGTAAAGATGGAGAGAAAGTCACGTTCCCAAAAAATCATGTAAGAGGATTTTAATTGTGTCTAGTTGTTTGGTTATTTTTTAAACTGGCACCAATATCAAACTTAGTTATATATAATTAATTGCACTTAGGGGTTAATCAAGCTAAACTTAACCGCAATAAATATTATTTTAATTATTAAGTAACGTAATTGTGATGAAGATTTTGTGAGATGGTGAATTTGAAATTATTTAGGGGATGGAATGTAAAAGGGGTAAATTTCTCTATTTTGAGAGTACGGGTTTTGGTGGGCCGTGCCAGGCGGGCCACGCGTCAGCCCACCATTAAATAAAAAATAATTGATTTAATAAACCATAGCATGTTACACATTAGTCGTTACATTCTCAAGTCGCAGCACAGTCAACTGAGAGACGGGCCTTTTTCGCTTTTGGTAACCCTAACCTTCTTCTCAACTCAGCAGCCAGCAATCCTATGGACCAGACCGATGATCAGTGTGCGCTGGAGACCTTGGAGCGGGGACGCCGAACGACGAAGAAGCGGCGACCAGCGAAGGACAACAGGCGAGCGGGCCAACGACAGAGTCTCCGACCAGCGAAGGACAACAGGCGAGCGGGCTAACGACAGAGACTCCGAGCAGCAACGCCAACCAAATCGTCGGCGAGCCTTCGTTCTGGTAGTGATGGCTGAGCCTAATCTCAAAATGATTTAAGATTGAACTGTTGATTTTTTTGAAGTCTGAATTTCTCAACCTATTATTGATTTTGATTTCATTCATATTCGAAACTCGCGCAAGTTGTTGTTGTTGTTGTTGTATTTTATGAAATTCCGAATTGCATAACTTCAAACCTATTTGACTGGTATAAAACACATAAACTATTGATTTTGGAATAATTATAGATTTTTTGGTGAAATTTGTTGTGCATAAAATTTATAACTTCAAACTTGTTGTGGTTTTTGTTACTACTACTAGCATTATTATTACAACTTTTATTATTATCATTGTATAACTTGTCATGCATACTATATGAAATTTCAAATTGAATAACTTCAAACTTATTGGACTTATATAAAACATATGTAACATGTAACATGGTTCTGTTACACATCTTCTAGAATGTATTTGTTTGTCTGTATAAACCGTGTATCTTTTTAGTTCATGGCACCATTTTGTTGTATTCACAGTTGAATTGTGAATTTGAATCCACTCAAAATTGAACCGCATGCAGTTGAATTGTGTATTTTTGGTACCATTTTTTTAACCTATAGAAAAACGTTTCTTCTCACTGGCAGTTGATTGCTTAGTTTATTTTTAGACTACTACTTTATTTTGCGTTTTGGTAAACTAGGAAAGACACCGCCGCACGAGATTCGATCAGGTGGTGCTAATTCGAGTGACAAAAAGGGTTGCCGTCTCATAATCCCTAGAAAAAAAAATAGTAAGGAGTGCGGTTAAGAATGAATCAAATATTTACTCAACAAAGATCCGTAAGAAGCCTTTCTGATGGGAGTATTCACACCTGATATTTGTATTTGAGATAGTTTCGTATCCTTTTTTGTCTCCTGCTTTATTCATTTCAGGAGAAATGTTAGTTGCTTTTTTGTTTGCAGTATGATAAATTAGTTTGATAAATGATTTATCTGGCCAATTAGTTGAGAAGAGTATCTAAGTTTTCGTGAGATGCTACCTATTCATGGATAGGCTGACAGATGAGCTGTTGTAAGCCTTTGTAAAAATACTCGCCTTACAACCAATTAATTCTAATTAACTATGCACCATGAACTTTCAAGTTTTAATTGGCCCTGACGCTTTGCCTTTTGCATTTGGTTTTGTTTCTAAACTAAAATTTTAAAATATATATCCTTGCAAAAATGTTTATTTATTTATTTATTTTTTTTTTTTTGTGAAATCGTGATTGATGGTTGGAATGCTTAAGTCAATTTCTATCTAAGTAGTAATATGAGTGGTTTGTTACAATTAAAAAAAAAAATATGTTCTCTCAATATCAAAGGCCGAATATTAATTACCAATAAAAGGTTTAATATTAATGATTAAATTGGGCCGGCTGTGCTGTGCACAGCGAAAGCTTCCTAGTCTATATATGCAAGAGTTAGGGATTCAAATGACGACACATCTCCATTTTTATGGCCTTCTTATCATGACACGTGTCCAATTTAATTCACCTTATTGCCACTTCTTTTTCATTTTGTTGTCCTTAGATGTTGCACATGGGTTCGATTATGTTTACCTTATTGTACATTTTAAATGACCAACATGTCCTTAAAAGATTTTCATTCCAATACAATGCGTAGAGGCTTTTTAGTCAACTAGTGTATACCCCGTGCGATGCACGGAAATAATATTAAATTAATAATATTATAAATAGACCTCGAGTTTGAGTCACTCAATGACGGAAGTGGAAACTACTATTGTTCCTATTTAAAAAGAGGAAGCAAAAAAAATAATTATAAATTAAAGAGGAGGATAAACAATACTTAATAATTATAAATTATAGATTCGGGGTCAAACAATGTAAAATTATTTTGTATAAGAGAATATAAAAAAATTTGATTACACACCATTTCAAAATTATTATTATACTTTTTTGTATGGTTAGCTTATAATATTTGTAAAAATATTAGTAATTAGACCGATTAGCTTATAATATTTGTAAAAATATTAGTAATTAGATCGATGAAAATTAGCTTCTTAAAGTAGATAATGGATTTCCAGTAGTAATTATGAATTAGTTTCTATTTTATTTTATTTTTTCTTTTTAAAAATAATGGATTTCTAGTAGTAATTATAATTTGGTTTCTATTTTATTTTATTTTTTTAAATCTCTATAGATAAGGGATGAGATTTTTTAAACACGTGAGATCGTATGCAATGGGATTTTGTAACATAAGAGATAAGCGTGTAGATTTATACTAAAAATAGGAAAAGAAAAACAAATATTTATTGTCAAACAACGATTTTGATAAATTAAAAAAAATGAGCTGATTTTTTTGCCTATTCAGATTTGTCCAACAATTACTATATTATGATATATTTAATGATTTTAGCGGGAAAAAGTTTCTAAATTTATAAAAAAGTTATTCTTTTTATATAATGATAGATTACTAATGACAGCTATAGATATGAAGATATAAAAGACCTCTAATGGTGACAAGTGGCGTTTCTTTAGTCGACACATGGTCAATTACTAATTGCTCCTTCTTTGACCTAATTGGAGAGGTCAATATGGTAAATTCGATTTACTTGAATGACCTTTATTTGAATGTAGCAAAATGATGGCGTTTTCTTATGATGTGAAAAGTACTTTTCCGATTTTACCTCACACGCTACACCGACTGAAAGCAATTCAAAGAAAGACATTGACCTGCTCCATGATGAATGATGAAAGAGAGTATCTATCCTCCAATCTCAAACCCTCTCTCACTCAGATCTCTCTCTTCCCTCCGATGCATCTTCGGTCTCTACCTCCCTCTAACAATCCGCCGCCGCAGTCCACCACTTCTCCACCACCATGACGATAGCATCACATTGTATGGCACCCCCAAATTCCCGATCTCATTTCAGCCCCAAATAGCACCGTCGGTGCGAAACAGACCGCGATCTACGACGAGAAGTTTTTGCCGGCCACTAAGAAACTTACGAGGTGAGAGAAAATTGTTCATTATTCATCTTCCTAACCCTTACCAAACACCGCATCTTACCATTTCCTATTTGAGTCGCCGCTGAGGGCACTCTCACCGGAGCACCTCTTCTTCTACTGCTCCAGAACGTGCTAGAGATGGCAGTGCTTTTGCTACATGGTAATATTTATTTTTCTTTTGAATGTTTCTGTGTGAAACTAAAGAAATTGGGAACTTTAACTTGTTATTATGTTTCTTTGTGATTCACTGTCAATTTCACATCGATAAATTGGGGATTTTCGGCTCATTTTGGGCTTTCTAATAGTGTGAGCTGGTGATGGGTTTTTTTTATGAAATGAAAATCTGCATAAACTTTGATTCCTGTAGTATGATTAATTGGTTGTAGGTGTTGTTTCCATTGTTAGTAGGAAACGAAAATTTTCTAATGCTTCCCATTTTGGTGATTGAAAGTGTTGAAAGGATATGTAATCTGGAAAAGGAATACATATAAACATTTGGTTGATGATAAAGAGTGGAAAAGGATATGTTTACGATATATGTGTGGTATTGATGGGTTAATGTTGTTTTCTGTGAAGCGAACCAAAAAATTGGCCGGAACCCTAAACTGGGGTACGACAACTGTGGTTGGAGTGTTTGCCGGCATGTTATATGGAGGTAGCAAAGAGGCCTCTGCATCTGTTGTAAGTCTGAATCCCATTTATAGTTGAATGATTCATAATAGATGGGTTGATTGATATTGGATTTATGTTTGGTGTCATCTTACCTTGCTTTTTTATAGTTAACATCCCCACTCCATGTATGGATTTCTGTTTTGTGGCATTACCTTTTTTCACAAGAATGTTTTTTTTATCAGTCTTCAAGAAGGATAAGGACTCGCTATGCCATCCGAAGATCCCGTAGCTCGAGGATGACCCCAGTATCTCAGAGATGACATAAAGAAGGTTGATTTATTATTATTATTATTATTATTATTATTATTATTATTAGTATTTATACCTATTCTTTAAGAATTTCTGGCTTTCTAATTAGTTAAGGTAGGGATGTTGATAATAATGGATAGAGCTTAAACATCAGGTTTCAAGTGCAAGAGGCTCCAGGTAATTCTTTTCATAATGCATAGCAGGTACAACATGAGTTGATAATAGAGCGTAAACATCAGTTAGTCTCTTTTTTCTATATGTTTCAGGGATCTTGCATGCATCAGGTTGCAAGTGCAGGAAATGAAATTAATTCAGTGCGGTCATGCAAGGAAAAAAGGTTGACATATGTTCTAAATGATGCAGATGATAAGAAGGCTGTCTCTCTCATTTTCAAGAAAAACAACAATAATGATATAATTTATAGTTTATAGTTTCTGTTATTTTTATGTTTTTCTATCTTCTTTTTTCAAGATGGATTTTGGATAACTTATTCAAATGTTATTTTTGTTATTTGTTTTTTTTCTTACCAAAGGCTAAGCCTGAAAAATGGTATTGTAATTTGATGAATCAACATCATTGTTTTCAATTACTTTACGTCAACCGCACAATATTGGGAGTTGTCAAATATTTGCAGGCCTCTAGAGAAACTGGTGCACTTAAAGAAGCAAAGGATAAGCTAGAGAAGCAGGTGGAAGACCTTTCACTACGTTTGCAGCTGGAAAAACACCGCAGGGTAAAATGCGCTACTTCCTCTCACAAAGCACAAGCATAAAGATAGACATGCAGATACAAATATACTGTTTCTTTATCAAGTTTATCAACGAATGTGTTGAGAGTTATTGCAAACTCTCAAACTATACTTATACTGAACCAAGAGTTTGTGTGAACAGAATGAGAACTGGAAGAGGCAAAGGAGGCAAAAGCTCAGGAAATAGCAAAATTGCAGCAGGCCTTAGAAGATATGCCAAGCAAAATGGATGAAAGTAATGCACTGCTTGTTAAAGAACGTGAGGTTGCTTAGACGGCAATTGAAGAAGCTGCAATTGTTAAAGAAACCCAAGTTCCTGTTGAGGATACTGCCAAGATCGAGGCTCTTACAGCCGAAATGGAGAAAGTTTTAACCTCTTTATCCTTTCTTTACATTTTATTGGGGGATATTTTAGGGGTTTCATGCCATTTTTTTTTTATGTTACTAAGATGTTAGATGTATCCATCATAAAAAACATTTTCGATGTGCTTTTCTTTTTCTTTGTTTATTTTTGGTATTTGAAATTGATAAATAGGCCCAGCCATGCATTTTCCTTTTCAAGTGTATAAGCATCACTTTGTTGTCGGCTATGTGCTCGCAGTTATAATATAAGAAAAAAATTCATTTTCCTTTTCAGATAAAATAGTGACTTTAAAATTCTACTACAGAGCCCCAAACGTCAATAACTTAAAGGATCCTAAGGTAAATGCATTTTCTTTTGATTTTTTTTTATTTATAGTATGGGGTGGGTAAAGTTAAAGGATACGACATGTGTGTTTTATGTCAAAGTGTATTTTCATTTATTATGTTCTGATGTTCATATAGCCAACTTCAGCTTTATTTATTTACTTTCTTTTTTTCACCCATCCTTGAAGTTTGGTTTGTTCTGTCAGAATAAGGAACAATCGTGGGGGCAAAGATCCTAAGGTCATGTACAAGTGTATTTAAAACAAGCCTAATATGGCTCCATCATACTTTTTGATAATTTGAGGTTTTGAATTTAGAAAACATGTACATAATTTTATATTTTGTCATTTTCTATTCTATCTTTTTTTAACATTAATTTTCTTGACAATAAATCTAGATTTTTTTTTTCTACCTCAAAATTAAATGAGGGTAATGCCCATGTTATTGCTTTATTATTTCTTTGGTATTGACTTTGAGATATTTCTCATCGACAAATGGTGCATATAATCTTTTCAATATTATGGACTTGGATATTGGTTAATTATTTATAAGTGTAGTATGAAAAATATATTTGTTTTAGAAAATTTGAAGCACAAGTAATATTATATGTAATGTAATGTTTTCAGGTGACAATTTCTAATACATGACAAAGGGAGAGCAAAATCAAGAAAGCAGGAGGCGAGCACGAATACAAGAATAGAAACTCCAATGTGGTTGCAAAAATCATCATAAACATTTGCAGATCTGTTCTAACCTAACATGTGAGCTGCCAGCTCATGTAATCATGTAAGTCACTGCTCATGCTCATCTAATTACTGCAGCCACAATCCTAACAATCCTAACAGTTGAAAAAAAAAAAGAGATTGCGTCTTATTACATTTATGTTACTTCATAGATACTCATTTTATCAAGTCTGTTTCGATTCCGAAAGATAAAGTGAATAAATACCAAGGCGAGCAGGTATTTTAAATTTTGGAATGATGAAAACTCTGGTGCAAGTGTTAGCAGATATCATATTCGAGTTGTTCTGGATTATTTATCTTCTTTGATATTAATTTTTAACTAATACAGTGCAACAATTAGTTGGTATATATAGTTTCTATATGTACAGGTACTCAATCTCATTCCTAATACTTCCAAGAACATCTGGAAAATTGTAAGAGCATATTTTGCCAAATTGTAACTTGAGATGACAAATTTTCACTATATTTTAGACTAAATTTGAGTCGTCCGTGCGTGCACGGCTGTAAGACAATTAGTGTTCTAAATAATAATAAATTAAATTCTGGACGAGAAATGAAGAAAAACAATTATTTTCCCCCATAAAATATTATGAGAACTTCCAAGCTGAAAATCTATTCCCTCGAAATCCCTAACTAGTAATTTCACAATTTGTGCCCTTTCCCTTCCTTTTCCTATACCCAAATCCCCTTATCTCCCAGCAAATTCTATCTGAATATTTCGAATTTTCAGCTTAAATTTTTATCCTTTCAAGTTCACGCAGCTGAAATCTGCAAATTGCTGCAGATTTCATGGTAAGCTTGTTGTTTTTTCCTCGCGCTAGTTTCAGTATGTTTTTGTATATGCGTGTGTGTGTTCGTGTTGATTATGGATTGATATCGTTTATATACACGCGAATTTTGTATTTTGCAGTTGTATAATGATGTTTCTCGATGCAATATATGGATATGTATGTTATGTTTTTTTAACAAAATTGTTGAAAACTAGAAAGTGGGTAAAATTATTTTAATGTGTCTTATTACGTGCTGTGATTTCTTGGATTATTTTCCCCAATTGACATTCTTTGCTGGGTGATGATCATAACTCGAGCATGAGTCTTGCAACAATTCCTTGTGTATGTATGATGGCATGTTGCCCACACATCAGTTGAAGGTAATAATGATTTCATGTACCTGTGTTGATAAAATGCTGAAAAGCTCGTAAGAATTGTTATTATATGGCAGGATGATGTAATATTAAAATGCTTGTATTATACACTAGTCAGTAGTGATTAGAAAGAGATAGTTTTGGTAGATGTTTGAGGCCATTAACCTAGGTTGGTATCTGACATTTGGTGTTAGATGGAAAAAAGTGTGTGTTCTCTTTTAGGTTGAGGATGTTTGTCCAAGTTAATTGATACATTCGTATTAACTTTTGACCTATCAAGATTGCGCAACTGCTCGGTACTAAATTTCACAAGCTCTAATGATCAGGGTCAGGATCTTTTATTGTAGTTTCCTCATTTTTCAGGGTTCAGAAGCATAGTTCCTGAATATTCATTATTGGTGTGCCGACCAATTGTGCAATTTGGCATCATAATTTTAGTGAATATCATTCCAGTTTCCTTGAGTAGGAACTACCTTAATCTACTTTTGAATATTGGTTTTATTTCTTGGTACACCGGTGAATTTTGCTTCTGAAAGTGAATGGTTTCAACACTAGGTGATTTTTATTTTTTTATTTTTTATTTTTTTTTTAAAAAGCAAGAAGAATAAATTCACCATGGCTTTTATGAATTTGGGCTTCATCTACAGCTAATGCTTTGAATCTCTCAATTTGTGATTCAAAAGCAGCTTTTGTTTCCCCTGCTTTTGCCCTTCAAGATGCTTTTCAACTGGTATTCGATTATCTTTCATTTTCATAGCTTATTTATACTCATAGCTTAGATTGATGTGATTGTGCGTATCCCTTCGTTCAATGGTCAAATTCTACAGGATCAACCTATGGGACTTAAGGAATGATATAAAAAAAGAAAGGGAAAAAGAAATTTAGATTATGGTGTGTTTTAGGACCACCTAGGAGAAGTGGTGTTCTTGGAGTTGCAGTAGGAAGGGAAAGCAGTGTCTCAAGGAGGAAGTTTTGGGGCTGTCGAGAGCGTTAAGGCCTGAGTGATGTCAACTTGCTAATCTCCGGCGAGGTCAACACCAAACTATCCGATTCCAGGTTTCAATATTAACTTTTGGAAATTATAAAAAAATTTATGTGGCCTCCAATCGCATTATCTAATTCGCCATTTTCCATTCATGTCCAAATAGAAAAAAAACGAACTATGTAAAAATGAAATGATATCCGGTCTTTTTTTCGTGCTTTTCGCAATCAATTAATGAAGACCAATTCAAACCCATATGAAGATGGGATGGGTGATCAAAGTAAAACCAAGTAATCCGACGAAAACACTGAAGTTCCTAAAACAAATTTGGTGTCGGGGAACTTCCTGATCATAGTGCCACAAAAGAAAGTAATGAAGGAGAAAAAAACAAAAGTACAGTATAACTGATAAGCAGTCAATCAAACCTAGCATAACTCCCATTCATATAAGAGAGGAACTCTCCCTCCAGAAGATAAGCCACAAAATTTCCGTATTTCCGTATGTTGCAGGCGACATTCCCATCCTTTTTATCTACATGAAATTAGGAATGAGCATCGCTTGGTCTAGCTCATCGTGGAATCTCAAGAGCTGCTCTTCATGTAGAGCTAAGATTGATAGTTTTACCATGTCATCAGCTGTCCACTTGCCGGTGGAATGGTTGATCTGCACATAGTAGTAAAAAATGAATATTTCATTTTTATGAATTCAATTATTTGCTAACTGTAATAGATTACCACTTCTCTTAAGTGAGTGGCCAAATTTCTAATCCACCGAATAAACGACTCATTCTTAAGGCCAATGTAGGCAGCTCTGTCCACGTACGTCTGTGCACGGTTTTCATAGTTGAAGAGTTGTGTAAAGATGTCATATCTCCTTTCACTTTTTTCTCTAGAAGAGTATTTTCTATATTTTTGGGCCCATTCATGGCAACCAACCATTGTGTCTATAATAGTGTCATACAGACTTTCCTTTTGTGGATCTAGGGCATGACCGTTTCTGAAAAAAGAAAGTCTATCGGAACACTCTACAATAGCTAGATGCTTAACCAAAGTTCCCTCCTGGAGAAGACTACACAAAAGTACAAAAAAAAAAAGAGTTAAATCTGAAAAAAATCCAACTATCAAATGTACTTGCAAAATAAAATAAAAGGTTACCTGATCAGCTGTACGATCTTTCTTAGAAATCTCGTAAGAATAGCTGGCCACAATCCATCACATATATTGTTTTCTATAATCTCAGCTAGCTTACGAAAATCATTTGTCCTCCCAGTCTCTGTCTCGGGAAGAAAGGTCATATTATACATCTTAACTGTTCCCTTGTGCATGACAAAATTCTTCATGTGGAGTGAGTGCACACATTTATGGTCCATTTGATGCAAATCAACAATCCCTGCCAGCATGTCTCTTATGATGCGTCTATACTCTGGTGGAGTATTGGAATATAGGATGTTAGTTGATGGAACTTTAAAGGTCATTGTAGGTTGTTTTCCCGCAATCTTCAGCTGCTGAATATACATGTCCAGCAGTCGAACTCTCCATACACGATAGTGTTTCGACCAACGTCAAAAAATTTACCACACAAGAAATATTTGTTGTCGTGCGTAAGGGAGTATAATTTTTCATCCCTAGGATCATCCTTTTCCAAGGGGACGAGGAGGACTCGAGTATGAGAGGCAAAAATATAGGAAAAAGAAAAGAAAAAAAAGGGAAAAGTAAATGTAGACCATGACAAGATGGGGCTCGATGCTGATCAGAGGAAAAAAATCCAATCGAAACCGCACATACCCTTCATCATCGACGAGCTCAATCGACTGAAGATCAGTCTGATAAACGCCATGAAAGAAGGAGAAGAAAAACAAAAAAACCTTCAAAAGGAAAAAAAAAAAACTCAAAAGAAAACTCCAACTGGCAGAGGAAAAAATGGCGAGCGAGACTGCCTCGCCTCAGGTCATTTCCTCACCATCTGTGGACTATTGTCTTTGTTTCTCTTTTCTTTACTTATATGTATCCCTGATCATAGGGATTTTTCTTTTCTTTTCTTTTCTTTTTTCTTTTAATCGCCTTGCATTGAAATCTTTATGCAGATAAGGAAAATGCTATCAGCTAAAAGCTAAAGTAACGATCTGCTGTTATTCATAACAGTTGATGATTGTGGTTATGAAAAAGGGGAACTAGTTGCCTCTCATACTAGGGATGAGAAATTATACTCCCTTACACACGACAACAAATATTTCTTGTGGTAAATTTTTTGACGTTGGTCGAAACACTATCGTGTATGGAGAGTTCGACTGCAGCTTGGACATGTATATTCAGCAGCGGGAAAACAATCTACAATGACCTTTAAAGTTCCATCAACTAACATCCTATATTCCAATACTCCACCAGAGTATAGACGCATCATAAGAGACATGCTGACAGGGATTGTTGATTTGCATCAAATGGACCATAAATGTGTGCACTCACTCCACATGAAGAATTTCGTCATGCACAAGGGAACATTTAAGATGTATAATCTGAACATTTCTTCCCGAGACAGAGACTGGGAGGACAAATGATTTTCGTAAGTTAGCTGAGATTATAGAAAACAATATATGTGATGGATTGTGGCCAGCCATTCTTACGAGATTTCTAAGAAAGATCGTACAGCCGATCAGGTAACCTTTTATTTTGTAGGTATATTTGATAGTTCGATTTTTTTCAGATTTAACTCTTTTTTTTTTTGTACTTTTATGTAGTCTTCTACAGGAGAGAACTTTGGTTAAGCATCTAGCTATTGTAGAGTGTTCCGATAGACTTTCTTTTTTCAGAAACGGTCATGGTCATGATAAAACTGGTGCCCTAGATTCGCAAAAGGAAAGCCTGTATGACACCATTATGGACACAATGATTGGTTGCCATGAATGGACCGAGAAATATAGAAAAGACTCTTCTAGAGAAGAAAGTGAAAGGAGATATGACATCTTTACACAACTCTTCAACTTTGGAAACCGTGCAGAGTCGTACGTGGACAGAGCTGCCTACATTGGCCTTAAGAATGAGTCATTTATTCAGTGGATTAGAAATTTGGCCACTCACTTAAGAGAAGTGGTAATCTATTACAGTTTGCAAATAATTGAATTTAAGAAATTTTGCATAAAAATGAAATATTCATTTTTTACTACTATGTGCAGATCAATCATTCCACCGACAAGTGGGCATCTGATGACATGGTAGAGCTATCAATCTTAGCTCTACATGAAGAGCAGCTCTTGAGATTCCACGATGAGCTAGACTAAGCGATGCTCATTCCTAATTTCATGTAGGTAAAAAGGATGGGAATGTCGCCTGCAACATACGGGAATTTTGTGGCTTATCTTCTGGAGGGAGAGTTCCTCTCTTAGATGAATGGAAGTTATGCTAGGTTTGATTGACTGCTTACTGTACTTTTGCTTGTTTCTCATTCATTACTTTCTTTTGTGGCACTATGATCAGGAAGTACCGCAGCACCAAATTTGTTTAGGAACTTCAGTGTTTTCGTCGGATTACTTGGTTTTACTTTGATCATCCATCCCATCTTCATATGGGTTTGAATTGGTCTTCATTAATTGATTGCGAAAAGCACGAAAAAAAGATCGGATATCATTTCATTTTTACATAGTTCGTTTTTTTCTATTTGGACATTAATGGAAAATGGCGAATCAGATAATGCGATTGGAGGCCTCATAATTTTTTTTATAATTTTCAAAAGTTAATATTAAAAGCTGGAATCGGATAGTTTGGTGTTGACATCACTCAGGCCTTAACGCTCTCGACAGCCCTAAAACTTCCTCCTTGAGACACTGCTTTCCCTTCCTACTTCAAGAACACCACTTCTCCTAGGTGGTCCTAAAACACACCGATACGCACAATCACATCAATCTAAAGTTCTAAACCAACAGCCAATCAAGATTTATTACCATACATATATACACACATAGATAACTAGAGAGAGATTCAGAGAGTGAACCTAGCATGATCTGTGATTCCAATGGTGGCCAAAGGGCCATCATGCTTCACCCATTCATGTGACGAAGCATATTCAAAACCTTCTAAAACTGAGTGAAAAACGGAATTTCAAGAAGTTTCATATCGATAAAAGTAACGTATAAATGAGCTATGAGTATAAATAAGCTATGAAAATGAGAGATAATCGAATACTAGTTGAAAAGCATGGGCAAAAGCAGGGGAAACAAAAGCTACTTTTGAATCACAAAGAGATTCAAAGCATTAGCTGTGGATGAAGCCCAAGCCCAGATTCATAGAAGCCATGGTGAACTTATTCTTCTTGCTTTTTTCTTTTTTAAAAAAAAATTCAACGTTTGGTTTTCTTGTTTAGGATGTGAAAGGTTTTTTGTTATGTAATGTAGCATAAAGAATGAAAGATAGAAAGAGTTACCATTATCAAAAGTTCTCTCTCTCTCTCTTTTTTTTTTTCCTTATCTTTGATGGATTGTGGAAAATGAAAGCTTCGTCCTAGACCACACTAAGTGCTCTTTTCTGTTGCGTTCAATTTGTTTGGTATGTTTTATGCAGCTGCTGTAATTTTTAGGCCATGATAATTAACTTTGCTTTTCAAATTTTTGTTTTACCTAGTTGTGATTTATTTAAATTCTATAGATAAAATACTAGATGATTGATTACCTTGTTGCACAACATTATTACTGGGAATAATATTTTTATTTTTTAGCCGAAATTGAGACATCACGCATAAGTGTCCCAATGTATTTGACTAAAGTTTAAACTTCAGCAACTATTATTTTTAAATTGATCAAATTTAAAACTTACCAGCATTCTTATAATCTTCCACAATATTACAACATTGCATATTGCACTACATCTAAACTATTATGATTTGTTGGCAATCAATAAAATTTTATCAACAAAAATGCACAATTTTATATTTGAAGGACTTGGTTTAAAAAACTATGAATAAAATTCATTATTATAGTATAATTATGTTTTTATAATATATTTATCAAATGCTTTAGTCATTTGGGAACCATACATTCACATGCAGTAATTAATCACCTATTCATTTTCCAAGACATGTTCTAAATAATAATAAATTAAATTCTGGACGAGAAATGAAGAAAAACAATTATTTTCCCTCATAAAATATTATAAGAACATCCAAGCTGAAAATCATAGATTTTCAGTTCCCTCGAAATCCCTAATTAGTAATTTCACAATTTGTGCCCTTTCCCTTCCTTTTCCTATACCCAAATCCCCTTATCTCTCTGCAAATTCTATCTGAATACTTCGAATTTTCAGCTTAAATTTTTATCCTTTCAAGTTCACGCAGCTAAAATCTGCAAATTGCTGCAGATTTCATGGTAAGCTTGTTGTTTTTTCCTCGCGCTGGTTTCACTATGTTTTTGTATATGCGCGTGTGTGTTCGTGTTGATTATGGATTGATATCGTTTATATACACGCGAATTTTGTATTTTGCAGCTGTATAATGATGTTTCTCGATGCAATATATGGATATGTATGTTATGTTTCTTTAACAAAATTGTTGAAAACTAGAAAGTGGGTAAAATTATTTTAATGTGTCTTATTACGTGCTGTGATTTCTTGGATTATTTTCCCCAATTGACATTCTTTGCTGGGTGATGATCATAACTCAAGCATGAGTCTTGCAACAATTCCTTGTGTATGTATGATGGCATGTTGCCCACACATCAGTTGAAGGTAATAATGATTTCATGTACCTGTGTTGATAAAATGCTGAAAAGCTCGTAAGAATTGTTATTATATGGCAGGATGATGTAATATTAAAATGCTTGTATTATACACTAGTCAGTAGTGATTAGAAAGAGATAGTTTTGGTAGATGTTTGAGGCCATTAACCTAGGTTGGTATCTGACATTTGGTGTTAGATGGAAAAAAGTGTGTGTTCTCTTTTAGGTTGAGCCGTTGAGGATGTTTGTCCAAGTTAATTGATACATTCGTATTAACTTTTGACCTATCAAGATTGCGCAACTGCTCGGTACTAAATTTCACAAGCTCTAATGATCAGGGTCAGGATCTTTTATTGTAGTTTCCTCATTTTTCAGGGTTCAGAAGCATAGTTCCTGAATATTCATTATTGGTGTGCCGACCAATTGTGCAATTTGGCATCATCATTTTAGTGAATATCATTCCAGTTTCCTTGAGTAGGAACTACCTTAATCTACTTTTGAATATTGGTTTTATTTCTTGGTACGCCGTGTTGAAAACCTAGGTGAATTTTGCTCCTGTTATTCAGTGAATGGTTTCAACACTAGGTGAATTTTGCTCCTGTTATTCAGTGAATGGTCTTAAAGGTACTCTGTAGTATCTTGTTCCTGTACATAAGTACATCACGTTTCTTGGTTAAGTTATTCATCTTCTCCTTCCATACGCACCGGTTCTATCTGTTTTCCACCAATCTATAAATATTAATAAAATTTGTTTGTTGCCTTCATCTAAGGTTCTTGTAGCAATTTTTGCTCTGTCCCTTCATCACAGAGCAGAGGGTGTAAGGTAAATTTTTTGCCTGCATTCCTTCCAGTTGGGAGAAAAGATAGATTAAAATCTTTGAGATGCAGACCTTTTTCTAGGTTAGAGATTTTACGTGTACAATCAGTTGATGGTGCTTATAGATATTCTAAAAAATTGTATTTGAATTGAATTTTTCTTGGACTACATTTTCATTTGCAGAAGATTCTTTAGATTTTTCTTATGGTTGTGTATTTATTTGGAAGGATTTCAATTAACAATGATCTGATTTCTAGACATCATTGTATTTGGGGAAGGAAATATTTGTATTTGAATTGAAATTTTGGTGGACTGGCAGTTTCATTTGCGGAAGTTTATTTAGATTTTCTCTTATTCTTTACGAGTGTTTTTAAGAAGATTAGCTTTGTGATGATTGTGTATTTTATTTAGAAGGATTTCGGTAAACAATTCTCTTATTCCTACACTTTCTCTATAGCTCTGCATTTTACAGAATGATTTCTCAAATGCCGTTTATTATATTCACTACTAAGTGGGTTTTTATATTTTAGTTTTCAAGGAGTTCTTTTTTCTTTTAATCATCTTAAATTTTGCTTGTTTTGAAAATAACTGAATAATCTTGCTTGCAGTCTAGGAATTTCACTTGCTCATGTACAAAAGTCAAAATTACTTAAAAGATCTGCTTTCAAAGGTAGCAGTCAGCATGATGATTCTGGTGGCAGAGCTAATGGCTCAAAGTCATTAAATATTCCCTTCGAAGTTTCTTATTTGCTACACAAGAGTGAAGAGCTCTCTGTGAACACTTTAAAGGTTCCGAATGTTGTACCTATGACACAACAATCAGGTCAATGGCTATACAATATTTACTTAGGAACTGGTTGATGTTACTTCGTACGGCATCACAAACACAAGGATGATGGAGCTTTGAAAGAATAGTCTTCGGTGGAAACATACACTAAACCCTATGCAAAAGCAAGAATTTGTTATCATGAATCTACAAAAAAAAATAGGATTCAGATTTGATAAAAAAAAAATGATACAAAAAAAATAGGATTCATATTTTGGCATAAAAATCTCTAAATTTGTTACAAAAAAATGAGATTTAGATTTTGTTACTAAAGATCTACATGTGTTTTTTCAAAATTTCTACTAATAGTAAGTCAACCCATTTATTTTTTGGTCAAAGTTACTAAAAATGATTTTACCAACAACCTTTTTATATTAGTATAGATTTTTTAATTTAAATTGTCCCGTGACATTAAAAATACCATGCTAATCAATTTTATTTTTCAAATCCTTATCCGATTAGTTACTTGTTTTCTAGATATATATTTGTAACAACTATTAGTATTTTGGATAGCTATGAATCAAAAAAATATAAAATATCTATATAAAATATAAAAATAAAATTGATATCAAATGATATTTTTATTTATGTAAACTTACACAAGGAACAATATAGTAATATATTATTTAAAAACATGGATTTAAGTAATAATCCGAAAAATTGTGAAAACCGATTTGAGTGCAAACCAAAAGAGTGTGATTAGAACGTCCATTTCGATTTATTGCAAATATATAGTATATATTCTTTGATTTGTTGCTTGGTTTGTAGATATATTGTTTTAACAACCAAGGACATTTTGTACATATTTTTTTTATTCCAACCAAATATATTTAGTATTTTGGATAATGTGAATTCTTTGAATGATTCAAATCTTGGTATATGATTGTAGATTTTAATTCAAATTCATATAGGATTAAACTTTATGGTTATATATTTATTTGGTTTTAACAACCCAATTGTCGGGGTTTTTCAAAAATTTATAGTTTTCGTGTGATAAATTAATACGAACAACTCAATCCAAACTAATAGAACAATAGATAAAATCAACCAACTTATTTATATATTGAAGCAAAAGCCTCGGCAACTATATTTTACCTCAGCACTTATATTGAACGCCTAAAAACATTAACTAATCTCAACCAGGAAATTAAATCCTAAGAAATACAAATTGTTCATCAAATTCAACTAAATAAATTGATTAAACCTACTGTTACGATCAAAAAATCCCAACCAAATTTCAACACCAATCAAACTCGAGAGTCGGGTTAGCCAATATACCTTGTGTCGGAAAAAAAGGAACACAAACACCGGAAGAAAAAGGTTGCTCAGTCACCGGAGTGCCCTTGTCTCGGCTTGGTTGATTGCTGAAAAAGGCTCTCCTCTATGTACGCAGTCAAACGCATTTCGAGGTCGGTCGACTATGTGGTGTTGTGAAGGTCGCCGGTCGCGGCTCGAGGTCGGATGCAGAGGAGGGTCACCGGAAGTCAGATGTGAGCTCGAACCCGCCGTGATGTCTCAAAATGCCGATGAGTTTCACGGACGACGCGACGCTGGAACGGAGAGAGGATTGGGGGTTCGCGACCTAGGGTTTCTCTAGCCGTCGGAATTTGAGTCTCGCTACTTATGGCGGACGATGCATTTGCCATGTTTGTCTGTCGAAGGGAAAAATTGCAGAAAATATCGAGGATTTTCGCAAGTGAAATTGAGGGTGAGATACAGAGGGAGATCTTAGGGCTGGCTGAGGGGAGAAGGATTGGCTGCAAAAAAATCACGATGGACCTGCTGAAATTCAGGGAAGAAGAGAGAAATTTGGGGAGGAGATTTGGGAAGAGATGACTGATTCTATTCGATTCAACATAATTCTCTGTTTTTTTTTTCTTTTTAATCTTATTTTCTTTAATATTTAATTATCTTCTTACTTAATTAGGAGTTAATAAATTAGATTTGGTTAATTAGAATAATAATCGTCAAAGTTGTTTAAAAAATCCGTGTAGGTTGTTAAAGTTGTTAAAAAAAAGGAAAAAAAAATAAAATTTGAACAGATTATCAAAAATGTTTAAAAAAAAGGAATAAAACATTATTACTATCACATCCTAACAGATTACAAAATTTTTGAAAATTATTATCACATGTGTGTTTTAGAATATTACTTATAATAGTAAGTCAACATGGTTGACTCCTTATTTTTTAAAAGTTTCCACAAATGATTTATTGACCTCTTTTTTTCAATATATATAGATGAACAGAGCTCAACCTTGTAAGTTGTAAGGCTTTAAAAAATATATTTTTTAATATAATTTTTATAGATCCACTCATCAAATATTGATATTGATAAATGAGTCATTTATACTTTATACCAGACACTCCTCAACTTAGTAGTGTTCAAATTAAAAAACGAAATAATTTATTTTCTCAATNTTGAATGAAGAAGAAGAAGAAAAAAAAAAAAAAAAAACAATTTTATTTTCCCAAAAATAAAAACTTCTCCCCCTTTAGGAAACTCTCCTATCACTGATAAGAACTCATACACAGATAGATCGCGTAGCCGATCGGAGCAGAAAACCTAGCAAGCCCCTTCATTTTCTCACTGCCTTTTTGCATCGGAGGATCTACAGCTGCGCCAATCTGTTTCAACGTACTGTGGCGGCGCTCGTGGCGGCGGCGGTGGTGTTGTTGGTGGCGGCGGAGTGAGGGAGTCCGAGTGCTTTTGCTGTATGTCAGTAGATCGCGTCGCGTATTACGGTGGATACGGTGTGCTCTGGAATCAGCTACAATGGCCACAACTCAGAAAAAGGCGACGCTTCCTGCTCCGAACACGGCTAATTGTTTCGCCAATTTAGCCTCCGTAGTCCGTCGAGAGTCGGCGTCGGCCGCCCCCGCTGCTGATTGGAAGGTGGCTGCCGCCACCGCCTCCGCGGAAGAGAATCCGAGCAAGAGAGCAACCGCCGTCGTGTCGTCCTTGATTGGACCGGAGCTTTCTTCTAGTGCTTCCAGTAAAGGTAACTTTTAGCTTTTTATGTAGGCGTACCCTGCTTTTTTGGTGTCTGTGCTGGCATACATGCATGTGATGGGCATTGAATAAAATTTTGATTACCTGTTTTTGGTCATGATATGAGGTGGTGGTCCAGTTGAAGCTATTAATCTGATTGGTCTGGTCTTTTGGCTGTGTCTGTTTATTATTTATTTTTTTGTTGTTTTGTTGTTTAAACATATTAGCCTATTATATTGCATTAGAAACAGATGTGCAAAAGAAAGATGATCTTGCCAAAAAAATCGAACTTTATGTTTTATGGAATATAGTGTGTTGTTTTTTTTTCTACCCTTGATTAAACAGATTATGCCTATGATATTCGTCAAGTTAGCTTTAGAAACAGACTGTTCTTTCTAATAATTGGCTTAGATGAGGACGTGCAGGAGAAAGATGATTTAGTAAAAAGAAAAGGTAACGAACTTTATATTTATTAGTTTCTGTATCAAACAATTAAATATGTGCATTACATCTCTTGAATAATTGTTAGTGGAAGTTTTGTGATTCTGGTTACACTTAAATATAAACTGGACTCTACCTGTAGGCATTTTTTGGGAGTCCCCTGAGAAGTATTTTATTTTATGCCTAATATTCATGTCATCATGTGTGGAAGAAATACTGTTACAGTCATTGGGCCAAAAACATGTCAGGTTTAGGTTTTAATTTCATAAATTGTAACTATGACGCATAAAATCATTAATTTATCTGATTTTCAGAATTCATGAACAATGGGTGCCAAATTTATTTACGGGGAAAATATATTTGATTTTGGTTGTATGTGATGCTTTGCTTATTCAGGGATCCAGATCATGACAAGGGCTCAAACTAAACATCCTTTGGATCCTTTATCAGCTACTGAAATCTCTGTGGCTGTGGGGACTGTTAGAGCAGCTGGAGCTACTCCTGAGGTGCGCAATGCCTTACGAATTGAATAAGTTGTTACTCGGAAATGCCATTGTGTTTTCAGTCTCATCACTGACCTTTTCCTCTTTTTTCAGGTCAGAGATAGTATGAGGTTTATTGAAGTTGTTCTGTTGGAACCAGATAAACATGTTGTAGCACTTGCAGATGCTTACTTCTTTCCCCTTTTCCAACCATCATTGTTGCTTAGAACTAAAGGGGGGCCTGCAATTCCTAGCAAGCTCCCTCCAAGACGAGCCAGACTAGTTGTCTACAATAAGAAGTCCAATGAGACTAGCATGTGGATTGTGGAGTTGACAGAAGTGCATGCAACAACTCGAAGTGGACACCATCGAGGAAAAGTCATTTCCTCTACAATCATCCCTGATGTTCAGCCTCCAATAGTACCTGAGCTATATTGAACTATATTATTTGTTTATTTGGTTACATCATTGGCTTGAGTAAGTTTAGTTTTACAGGCAGAAAGCAATAGAAGGGTTGAACGCTTTATGAACATAATATGGTTGTAACGTAAATATGCCTTTTAGGTTTACCTTATTTGCATAAAAAACACAATTGCAGTCTTCATATAGTTACCTCTTAGGTTTTTGTTACTGTTGTAGTTACCATCCTCATGAGTTGCAATTTGTAATATAGAAGCAATATTAGCGTTGTCAATGGAAGTTTGTAGTTGACCCTGATGTTAGTTGATAAGAGGGAGGTATTTGGTATTACTGTTTCTTATTTTTCTTCACCAAGGTAGTTCTGATGCTGACTATTAGTATTTGGTAAACGTGATAAAAGAATTTATCTGACCCTTGATTGGTAAAATGTTCTACTATGTCTTGGATTGTGATTAACTAATGACTGATGTTGTACAGCAATCCACAAGGCAGTATGTAAGCATGTGTTAGAGGTCCATTAGTCAGATTACTTGATATTTTACTTGATATTTCATGTGCCTTACCCTCTCTTAAGACTTATGGTGTTTGTGGTTTGGGTTTATGGATCACGCTTCTGGTTTTGTTGTCTGTGGCACATGATACATATCATAATTGAATTCCTAAACATCTTTTGGGTTCCAATAGCAGGATGCTACAGAATATGCTGAATGTGAAGCTGTTGTCAAAGATTACCCTCCATTTATAGAGGCAATGAGGAAAAGGGGTATTGACGATATGGATTTGGTCATGGTTGATCCTTGGTCAGTAGACAATAATGTGCTCCGAACTTAACCTTGTTTAAATGTACAAATTATTAATAGTCTAGTTGGTGCTGAATACTCCTGCAGGTGTGTTGGTTACCACAGTGAGGCTGATGCTCCCAGCAATAGGCTAGCAAAACCACTTATATTTTGCCGGACAGAGAGTGACTGCCCCCTGGAAAATGGTTATGCACGACCAGTTGAAGGAATTCACGTGCTTGTTGACATGCAGAATATGGTGGTTATCGAATTTGAAGATCGTAAGCTTGTCCCTTTACCTCCAGTGATCCACTTAGAAATTATACTTCTGGTGAGACAAGGGGAGGGGTTGATAGAAGTGATGTGAAACCCCTTCAGATTATACAGCCTGAAGGTCCAAGCTTCCGAGTCAATGGACAATATATTGAATGGCAGAAGGTATTTTTTCTCTAATTTTAATTTACAGTTTATACACACACACACACATATTTATATATATATATATATATATATATATGTATTTCTTTACTCGATATTTGAAGCAATTTTTTGGGAACATTGATTTCAGTGGAATTTTCGTATTGGTTTCACCCCGAGAGAGGGTTTGGACATTCATTCTGTTGCATATGTTGACGGTAGTCGGGGAAGGAGACCGATAGCCCATAGGTTGAGTTTTGTGGAGATGGTTGTTCCATATGGGGACCCTAATGATCCCCATTACAGAAAAAATGCATTTGATGCCGGGGAAGACGGTTTGGGGAAGAATGCTCATTCGCTAAAGAAGGTAGCACTCACCTCCTTTTAATTTTAGTTTATTATGCTTTTATCCCTCAGTCGAAGAAACAAGTGGCTCTAATTGACTTTTTTCACATCAGGGATGTGACTGTCTGGGATATATAAAATACTTTGATGCTCATTTTACTAACTTCACTGGAGGAGGTGAAATTATTGAAAACTGTGTATGCTTGCACGAAGAAGATTATGGAATCCTATGGAAGCATCAGGATTGGAGAACTGGCCACGCTGAAGTCCGAAGGTCAAGGCGTCTCACTGTTTCTTTTATCTGCACTGTGGCTAATTACGATTATGGATTCTACTGGTACTTTTATCAGGCAAGTGGTATAACTTTGTCCTTCTATTAGAACATTAGTAAAACTTTGATGGTGCTGACACTTAAAACTTTTCATAATAAAAGCTTACATATGAACAAAGTCTAAAAAACATGGGGTGTGTTTCACTATTGTTTTATTTTCTCGGACTCAATAGTTCTCTGTAGTTGTTAGGTTAGTTGTCTGTAGTTGCTAGGTTAGTAGTTGCTATGTTAGTCTATGTAGTTGCTAGGTTAGTTCTCTGTAGTTGCTAGGTTAATTGTCTGTAGTTGCTAGGTTAGTTCTCTGTAGTTGCTAGGTTAGTTCTCTGTAGTTGCTAGGTTAGTTCTATGTAGTTGCTAAGTTAGTTCTTTGTAGTTGTTAGGTTACTAGTTGCTAGGTTAGTTCTCTTTAGTTGCTAAGTTAGTAGTTGCTAGGTTAGTTGTATGTAGTTGTGTTGTTGTAGAAATTAACACCTCAAAAACCACAAACAGCAAGGTGTGTTTAAACGAAAATGAGTGTAAAATTATATTTTATTGATAATTTCACGAGAGTACAGGAAGTCGGTTTCTTGTTCTTAACCGAGATCATTTTAAGTCCGTGTACAATGTGCGGAAAAAGATCCCCGTACAGTCATAAATTCTGCTATTTATAGTACGGTTATTTTTGTCTTCTTGTCCGAGGTAGATTAGATCGCATTAAATGTTAAGCTGCTTCAATAAAGCGGCCTGTAATGTAATGAGGGAACATCAATGATGATTCTTTAACTTGACGATCCAATTGGAAGTGTACAACATCTCCTGCTTGGAAATTCGATCCCCTCGGATGTCGGTTGAATGGATAATCTTTAGTGTAAATAATTTTGACGTCGATGAAGTCGGCTTTTTGAGTTTTAATAATTCAGTCAGTTCTTTTTAAGTCGGTAATTTGTTCAGCTGCGCCGACTTGAGCTAAGTTTGGCTATTTCTGATGAGCTATTTAACGGGATAAAGTGATTAGTCTTCAACTGATCACACGAAACAAAGTCGGCCATCAACAAGTTGTTAAGAGCTGGTCCCATTTGATCCGCCCCCTATATATATATATATACATCCATCCTATATATAAATAAGTGAGATTAAATGAGAATGAGTGATAATAAGAATGAATCATAACGTTGGATGTAATATATCAATATGCTCCAATGCGTGCCATTTACGTAATTATGAGTATTTTTTATTTTTCACATGAGAATATTTTATTGCACAGAATACATTGTTATGCTAATCTACCTTCACACGGAATAAGCCATTCTACACACCCAGTGTGTGTTGAACATGTAATCATATACCTAATTGAATCTGAACAAGAGTTGCACGCGGAAGCCTGCAAAACTTGAAGAAACACTCCAGTCATTCTTCCTTCTTCAAATTACACGAACCTATCTAATCAAACCACATGTCGATCACTAGTTACAAGATAACCGAGCTAATTTGTAATTCATCCGATAAGCATTGTGGCAAATATCACATTTCAAGCAAATGCCAAAAAGTATTATTTCTTTTGCTCGCACTCAGTCGGATTAAAAATCATCTATAGCAACCAAAATCGAAGTTCATGAAAACCGAATCATCAAGTAACAAATGCCCCTCCAAGGCATGCGATTTACAACTACAAATATTGATGTAAATGGGAGTGTGCAAAACAGAGTTCTTTTCTAATCAACAATATCCCAAGTCTCTAAAGCCAAAAGCTGTAACATAAATTAATCCAACGCTACAAAAAGATTCAACTTTTCTCCAACTCTCTTTCCTCGTCTCCCCCATCGACATTAACTTATACGCTGCAACAATCGAACCAAATTACTCTTCTGTATATAATATATCATAGAATTTTAGTCACACTTTATGTTCCTGTAAATTCTCCTGACAAACAAGTTGGAGCCTAAAAATCCAACCGCGCCTGCAAGTTTGTAGCAAAAATTAAAACAAATTGCACAAAAATTAATAATTGGTGGCAAAATACCTTTTTTTTTTACTGTAAGTTGCGGTAAGTGCAAAGCAGACTTACCACATAGTATTCCAAGACCAAGACAGAACATCAGAGTGTATCCAAAATAGAAGCTCGTCTGGAAGAAGCCCGACATCTTGGTCTTCACGTGGTAGTAATATACTGAATAGAAGTATACATAGAGAGCAGTCGAGGCCGCGGAGAAGAACGAAGTCCATTGCCAGTGGTAATTCTCAGCATTCAGCAGGAAGTAAGTCCCCACAATTGTAACGCAAACAGTGACGATTATCAGGATTACAAACACGAGAAGCATGAAGCCGTACACATAGTAAACCTATCGACAAGAGAACAATTATAATTCAGCATGCAATGATATTCAATGCACAGTTTGAAATGGCTCAGGCAAAAGCATAAGAACAGAGAAAGAAAACAAAAGGATATTAATAATTTAACATTAGTGACGGGTGATGGATTGGTGTGAGGTTGTGGAATTTAAAAGTAAAAATAAAAGTAAAGTAAAATAAAAGCAAAATTAAAAGTAAAAAATAAAAGTAAAATAAAAGTAAAGCAAAATAAATGAATAAGATGGATTACGAAGACATTTTTGAATCAATGCATGTGAATTTTGGAACAAAAAACAAAGTTGTTGTTTGACAGTGATAACTCATACACTATATTCCAAATAATTCTTAGTCATTCATTTTGCATATGACTAATATACTAGTAGATAGGACAATCATGGTTTATTGAAGAACTCGAATTGAAGGAATTGAGAAGCTTACCTCAGATAACTAAAATGATATAAATTAACATTACATGACAATAAATTAAAGTGAATTTCCATACAATGTTTCATCTTTTCATCTTCCAACGATAAGTGGTTATTTTCCAACAACGTATTCAACGTCATAATATTCATTTTCTTAATCTTCTTTTTTTTGCATTCCAACTCCATCTTGTCGTTCGCAATTTGGTCAGTAAATCATATTCGTTATTATCGTAGTATTATCCGTTGGAATATGTCAATTTTTTTGTAATGACATTAATACAAGTGAGAATGCAAATTAGTCTAACAGTGCATTACATTATGCACAATAACTAAAACACTCCCGCGTAAAAAATCGAAAGTACTCATAGTTACACAAATGTCACAGGCTCTCGAGCCTTTGACTGACCCTGGAACATTGATATATCACATCCACCTATTACGATTCATTCTTATTTCTTTCATTGTTACTCACTCCCATTTCCCATTTCCCATTTGATCGTACTTGGGTTTTTAATGACACAAGAAATTTGACAATGAAGGAAAGGAATAAATGTTAAAGTTAGATACTTGAAGTCTAGTTGGAAGCTAAAATCACCAAAAGACTATTAACATTACATGCTTTCTCTTTTTTTACCCTTTATATGTTGAAGCTTCTTCTTTTGCTGTGTTTCCATGTAATTAACTTGACCACCATTGTTGAGCCATTCTCCTAACCACCACCCTCCAAAATGAATCAAATACTCTCCAAAGTAGGACACACTATTCCTTTTCCCGAGGTCGAAAACCTGGCCGACCCAGACGACGCCAACTCATGGACATGCGCTGCTTGTCGCCTCCCGATATTCTCCACCCCTTTCGTCGTACATAAATCGGAGGGCAGCAATCTCCTGCTTCACGACCAATGCTCCGACGAATCTCTCCCTCCCCAACTCACGGGCCATCCCATGCACCAGAGGGGAACCCTCATCCTCCGACACCGCCTGGAAGAACATTCGTCAACTACACCCGACGAAGAAGACGAGACTGGATATTATTGCAAAAGATGTTGGTCGATTTGCGGGAGCAAATTTTACGAGTGCCCTATGGGTGATGTTCGAGACTGTGGTTTCAGGCTCGACCTCCCGTGCGCCCTGTCGATCACGGTCTTACACAGGAGCCACGAGCACAGGTTGACAGCTGTCAACGGGCATGCGTGGTCTAAGTCGTCTCACTCATTCGTCTGCAGCGCGTGCGGGGAACGACACACCACACCGCCTGGTAAAGAAATTAGTGGCCTATTATCTGAACTTATCACTGGTTCTGATCAATTATTGGTCGCGAGACCATTCAAAGATGCGGTAAAAGCGTACGCGTGCACGAGCTGCGATTTCTGGATTCATCCCGACTGTGCGCTTCTTCCTAATGCCATCGTCGACATATTATGCCACGGGCACCCTCTTCTCCTTGGATATTCTATTAACAGACTCAATAGAAGCTGCAACATTTGCAAAAGCGAAATCACGGCTTTCGGGTTCTACGCCTGTGTCGCTTGTCGCTATTATGTTCATATCGACTGTGCTGTTAACTCGAGACATCATAGATTCGAGCCCCGTAATATATAATATCCGATATTCTTCTTAGTCAGCACACGTAGACAAACACACACACATTATTAAACTTAACAGAAAGTTCAATTATTTTTATTTTTTTTTTGCAGTGTTGGTTCGTGAAGCAGAGTTCCCGAATCTACTTCGTCTGCCGATGGAAAACGAGCATGCTAGCGCGATGCCGCGTATTATGAAAAACAAGATACCCACGTACCCGTTGTTTCGTCTCGGAAATACTAATCGTTACGATCATCCAATTAGTTCTAGGATTAGCCATTCAACACTTACTCCTCATACAGATATACGCGAATTGTTTTCGCCACAAACTATCAGAGTACACGAGCATCCCTTGATCTATCATGATGACGCTCACAATGACATTGTTCGTGTTTGCAATGCCTGCACTCAAATTATTCTTCCACCCGATCCATTTTACAGTTGCGCAAATAATAATAATAATACATGCAAAGATTTCTTTCTGCACAGCTGTTGTTCCGATTTTCCCAGAACTTTTTTGTCCTACCACAGCGGCAACTGTTCGTTTAGACCAAAGGTAGCCACGAAGCCCTTTAATGTATTCGAGTGTGTGGTTTGCAAGCACAAATGCAATGGGTCCGCTTACTATATCGAAGAACAGCAAAACTATATGGATGTCGTTTGTGCCTTAATGCCTCACTCAATCACGCACAGTGCCCACGGGAAGGCCCATATTCTTCAAGGGAGGTGGGAAATCGGCGAGTTCTACGAATATCTTATGAGCTTGACGTGTAAATGCTGCCTCGAAAAAATAAATGACGATACGATAACTTCATATACGTGTAGCAATTGTCGAAGCTTCTCCATCCACCCGCACTGCGCTCTTCTCCCGGACACGGTCAGCCAAAAATTCGACCGACACCCTTTGAAGCTAATCACAAGCTCGAGCAGAGGAGAAGAAGAAGAAGAAGAAAAAAACAGGCTTTGCGAGATTTGCGAAAAGGACATGGATTGGAGAAAATGGCACTACGGCTGCGAAGAATGTGAACAATATTTTCACGCGAACTGCATTCCTTGTCTCGATCGTCTGTCAAAGATTAAGATTGGTTTTGAGGTTTGGGTCGGGTGCCATGAGTGTCCGGTTGCCTGCGTTCGGGCTGTTTCGGTTGATGGATACCTGTGTGGCCATTGTGGAAAAAGCATAAGGGAGAGTGATGATATAGCATTTGAATGCTCTAAATGTTATTTTAGGATGCATGAAGGGTGTGTCCAGGAGCTAATGATAAAAACTTGAGTAAGAAAAAAAAAATATAACCTATAAGAGATGATGTCTTTATGTTTTTTATTTATTTTAATTGTTTTGTGTGTGTTTTTTCAATGTTATATTAAGGTTCTTCTTGTGTGTTCTTTTAGTTGTTTTTAGTTTTGTGAGATGAGAGTGATTTCTTTTCTGTTTTCTTCACAGTAACCTATGATGTATTCGATACTTAATACAATAATAATCAGTTGCTTTTTTTATCTCAACATTTTCACTGAACCATCAAACATCCACCAAGATGAGAGCTGACTACATGTAATAAAACACAAGGGATAAAGTAATTTTTTAAGTCTGATGTGATGAGAATATCGTACAAAAACCTGGACTAATGTCTACACAGAGAAAATGAGTTGATTTACTAGCAGCAGAATTTGGTATTTCTGTACTTGCACACACATACAAAACCTAGCAGCAGAGACTACTATTATGAGGCTTTTAAACAAAATTATAAGTTTTTTGCAGTTCTCCAGATAATAAGAGCCATTCTTCTTTGATTATGTGACCACATAATAGCAGTTCCTGAAGAAGAAAACACCCCTCCTTACCGCAAGTTCTCCTAGGATTTGGATTATAACTTCCCCAGTTAGCATTTGCAGCTCTTCTGGTCCTCAGTGAGTTCTGTCGGGAAAATAAGCCAAAATGAACTAAATATGTATAGGCTGAGATGATTGATCAGGTTCATACAGCAGCAGGTTTTAATCTTTATCAGCAAATTTCGACCATAAACCGAAAATCAAGCACGTTTAATCAATTTACCTTGTCCATATTGGAACAAGTTCGTGTAGTTTCCTTATCCTGTCACTAATCCGTGTTCTTCGCACCTTATAGCATACATAACAAAAAGGAATCAGATTTGATAAGACAAGAGCTTAAAAAGTTAAAACCTTTAACTCTAATGCAACAAACCAAAAAAGGAGAGAAGAAAAAGTGTATACCCTTTTGGCAATGCTGCGAGGATGGGTAGCACAGCCACGTTTTTGGTTATGAACCCACCAAAATAAATAATAACCCCGAAATTTTCCACGGGACCTTCGCGATTCGTATAGCATAATGCATCCTTACCTCGGAAAAAATATGATCTTGGAGGATATGCTACAAGATTGAAGAAGGTTTCGAGTTCGAACAACCTTAATAGGAAGAGAAG